TGATGAATGCAGCTAAAGTAAACAGTCTCTCTGAGAGCGGCTCGGAAGAGAGGGGCGGGGTCAACAGAGCTCGTTAACATTTAAAGGAAAATGCTACAAAAACAGCTTGATCTGAAAAGAGAGGTGTTTTTTACACTAACATTGAGAAAGTTTAACCAAGCTATGTTACAGACTTTTCATTAGGACCCTAAAAAATCATATCAACTTGTGGAAAATGGGCATCCTATGACCCCTTTAAGCTTTAAGTTAGTTGGCCAAGAAAACATTTCCAATGTGTGTTATTTTAGTAATATGTATACTATTGTAGCATTTATTAGTGTTTTGAATAATCTTTTTATATTTTCAGTTTTTATTTTAATTTTAGATATGTTTTAGTAATTTTGCTATGTGCTTGTCATTTTTTTATATTTCCCTTTTTTATTTATTTTATAAATACATGTATTTATTTATTTCAGTTTTAGTATGTTTAGTACTTGAAATTCAACTTTATTTCAGTTAATAGTCAAGGAAACAATTCTAATTTTTGCTTACATTTTTTTTTGTATTTTTAAGTTTCTCATATAATAATTATATTTTATTTAATGTCATCTTTATTTCAATCAATGAAAAGTAGAGCTCTCTCTGTACACCTGAAGAGGCAACCTTGATAAAATTCTTGTAATTATTAATATTTTAAATGATTTGTTTAAGTGCTCAAAAGACTTTAAATTCCAGATCGTAAAATATGTCAATTTTGCACTGACATCCTGAAATGCTTGAACAGCACAGCTCTGTCTGAGACGACTAATGCGGTGGAATCATTGAACAGCTCCAGCTATAAACTAATAAAGCACAGATTTGGTCCCTGCTAAGAGAGAATGCAACACAAGCCAGACACTACTTCAAAATCTAAACAACTAGAACAAACTAATAGAGTTTTGTATTGCAGAGGTGACACATGCCGGCTATGAGATGGATGTTTCCATTTGCATTTGCTGTTGAACATTCATCTACATTTTAGAGTCTCATCTAAAGAGAAAAAAGTGGTTAACTGATTGGTATTTGTGTTTTTCCAGTCTCGATTGGATGCTCGATTGCTATATCCAGTACTCACACTCTGTATTGATAGGTCTATAAGCCTGACACTGATGCTTATTGTTTTAAAGCAGTAGTTCACCCAAAAAACGAAAATTGGCTGAAAATGTGCTCACCCTCAGGTCATCCAAGATTAGGATGAGTTTGTTTATTCATCATATTTGGAGAAATGTAGCACTGTATCACTTGCTCAGCAATGGATGCTCTGCAGTGAATGGGTGCCGTCAGAATAAGAGTCCAAACAGCTGATAAAAACATCACAAGTAATCCACAGCACTCCAGTCCATCAGTTAACATCTTGTGAAGACAAAAGCTGCGTGTTTGTAAGAAACTAATCCATCATTGAGGCATTTTTCTTCAACTTCAATCGAGTCCTCTATCCATAATAACACTTCCTTCAGTGAAAAACTCATCTGGTCTGAATCAGGAGAGAAATCCGCATAGATCAAGCACCGTTTACAAGCCAAAACAGCTCTAAACAAATATGTGTATGGATTTTGATGTGAGAGACAACAGGAGATGGACTGTTTTTACACTGGAGGAAGTGTTATTATGGACTCATATTTTAGCCTTGAAGCAACAGGCTAAAAAGTTAAAAACTCCTCAATCATGGATTTGTTTCTTACAACCACGCAGCTTTTGTCTTCTCAAGACGTTAACTGATGGACTGGAGTGGTGTGGATTACTTGTGGATTATTGTGATGTTTTATCAGCTGTTTGGACTCTCATTCTGACGGCACCCATTGACTGCAGAGCATCCATTGGTGAGCAAGTGATGCAATGCTACATTTCTCCAAATCTGATGAAGAAACAAACTCATCTACTTCTTAGATAGCTTAAGGGTGAACACATTTTTTAGCCAATTTTCATTTTTGGGTGAAAAAAAAAGTAACTGATGACAGAAGTTTTGAAGTTACCATTCCTTTAAATCACAAACTCTGACTGAAAACGAATGGCTTCTCTGTTGCTGCAAATGGCTGTGAGTGTGAATACCACTAAACCTCTGCTGTCAGTTCTGAAAGTCTGTCAAACGTCCTGTCAGGCAGAACATGTCAGTCGTATGTGTTTGGTCAGAAACATTCAAGCCCAGTCGAAACACGAAATGACTACACTGGATGAAAGAGCTTTTTTGGCAGGGATTTCTATTGATTAGAAATCCTGTAATATAGCTTGTGTTCGGTATAGGTTGATCTTATCAGTGTTAAGTTGATCTAGTAAAAAAGTACAGTAAAAACAGCAAAATTGTGAAATAGTACTACAATTTATTTTCTATATAAATATACTGTAAAATGTAATTTATTCCTGTGATGTAAAGCTGAATTTCCAGCATCATTACTCCAGTCTTCAGTGTCACATGATCTTCAGAAATCATTCTAATATGCTGATTTGCTGCTCAAGAAACATTTCTGATTATTATCAATGTTGAAAACAGTTGTGCTGCACAATATTTTTGTGGAAACTGTGATACATTTTATTTTTCAGGATTATGTGATGAATAGAAAGTTCATAAGAACAGGATTTATTTGAAATAGAATATTTTGTAACATCATAAACGTATTTACTGTCACTTGTGAACAATTTAACGCATCCTTGCTGAATAAAAGTAATAATATTTTTTTTTCCCCCAATATATATTGTATTTGTATATATTGTATGCTTTTGAGTGGTAGTGCATAAGTGGTCTATATATATATATATATATTATTTTTTCATTTTATTTTTTTACTTTATTCTACTTTATTTATTTATTTTCATTTAGCTTATTTTAGATTAGGAGACTAAATATAATCATAGCAAACCTATGTACAATTCTGTGCTCCCACTGTTGCATCACAGTGTCTGATTAATAAAATATTATGAATCATGTAATGACATTTTCAGAGGTATGTATGTATATGTTTATTATTACTTTCAGGCATTACAGCAGACAGATATTATGCTATAGTCAGCACGCGTGTGTTTGACTTATATATCGTATCGGAGGCCAGCGCTGTGCTGTGACTCTGAATAGAGCGGCAGTAACACACATCACATGCTCAGACAAATAAAAAGCACTTTGTCTCATTGCTCACATCAGAGCGGAGCGCATGGCCAATGCTTTAATACATTTCATGTCTGGAAGCAGGACTGTGTGTGCATGCGTGTGTGTGTGTGTGTGTGTGTTTGTGTGTTTGCAGCCACAGCGTATAAAGAGCAATGAAACACATTGGGGTATTATGTTCCATTTTCTGCTGGTCTTCTGTCCTCCCTTTCCATTTCCTCCAGAGGAAAAGCAGCATTAGCTTTATTACAGCAAAGAGACTCGCTGTAATGCTGTCTCACATGCCCTGATGTCTGTTTTTCTCCATATTTCGATGACTCCCTCCTCTTTTTTCCCCTCTCATTCTCCACAAAAGCCTCATTTATACCAGTTTTGCTTTAGCATCTAATTCATTAAGCTGCTGTTTGTATTGTGGGCCAAGCTGAAATCGTTATACTCCGTTATGACACATACTGCACTCAGGCATATTGCCTACATTACATATAGACTGTACATTATGTAAGGCCAGGATGCTTATTAAAGGGAGGTTTGACATTGTGTTGTGTTGCTGTTGAAACAGCTTCAAATTAAATAGTGCAACATTCGACTTCTTGATGTGAACAGACCATTAATTTTCTCCATAGAGAAATCGATTCTTAATGATTATGGATACATCTTTCTAGACGGACGTAGCATGAGCTCTGAGGTTAAGAGATGATTTGTGATTCTCTAGTAAACACAAGTCAGCCTGATTTGAAGATTATTTTAATAAACATGTTCAGAAGGTGTCTGTGAATCATTCATTTTAATCAGTCAGTTCAAAACAGAACAAAACGATTCATTTGAGTCATTGCTCAATAATATTTAGTGGCTTTTGGCATATTTTAAAATGATTTAATATAAAATACTGTATATGCACACCATTCAAAAGTTTGGGATCAGTAAGGTTTTTTTGGAAGAAAAAATATATTATTTTATTCAGAAAGGTGCATTCAATTGAGTAAAAGTGAGATTAAAGATATTTACAATGTTTCTATTTCAAAAAGATTTCTATTTCAAATAAATGCTGTTCTTTTGAACTTTCTATTCATCAAAGAATCTTGAAAAATAAAATGTATCACAGTTTCCACAAAGATATTCAGCAGCACAACTGTTTTCAACATGGATAATAATCAGAAATGTTTCTTGAGCAGCAAATCAGCATATTAGAATGATTTCTGAAGATCATGTGACACTGAAGACTGGAGTAATGGTGCTGAAAATTCAGCTGCGCATCACGGGAATAAATTACATTTTAACATCTATTCACATAGAAAACAGCTATTTTAAATAGTAATAATATCTCACAATTTTTGGTCAAATAAATGCAGCCTTGGTGAGCAGAAGAGTTATTTTGCTATGCATTGTTATATTGGTGCATATAAAATGAAAATAATAAAATGTATATTTTTTCCCCTTCTGTTCATTTAGTGAAAAATGGTGCAAAAAATATTTTAACATTTTTCTTTTACTTTTAATTGAAGAAAAGTACCCTTTTTAAGCCATTCAGAGCAAATACAAACATACCGCAAATCTGAATATTTCACAGTATATATTTATTATTTCATATTTAAATATCATCAAAAGGATTTTTTCTTTTGCTGTATTCCCCAGCCCTAATATGCATGCATTCTCACCACAGTATGTCAACATGAATGGAAACCATCATGAAAGTAACGTCGTCTCTTTCGCTCACAGAGATGTATCAGTTTTCGGTCTCGGAGGGTGCGGCCGTTGGGACGCCGATCGGCCGGGTGATCGCGACAGATGCAGACATGGACGAGAATACGGATATGAGTTACCTGATCAAAGACGAGGAGGGCGGAGAGCTGTTCAGAGTCTCGACTGACGGAGACACACAAGAGGCCGTCATCACCATCAAAAAGGTAGATGGAAGACCTCTCAGTTGTGCCATTCCACGCTCTGAAGGTCGTCCTGGCCTTCACATGTGGCCATATGGTGGATTTTGGTGTTAGCTAGTGATTTTTAACATCAAGGGGTGATTCAGCACAGTACCAGAATTGTTTAATATACATAAGTGTACTTAAAATCTAACATATATATCTATAAATATGTAATATATATATCAAGTAAAGATACAAAAATGTAAGATGAAATTCTGATAGCTTGTAATGTTAAATCAATGAGATCTGTATAACAGTAAAAATTCATATAAATATCAGTCGTGGCTCTATATCTCCAATAATCTGTTTTAGTAAGATGAGATTTAAATGATCCAAACATATAATGCAATGCTGATTGAGAGCTGAAGAAATAAAGGCTCCTCAGAAGATGTGAGATGTTATGGAGGCTTGTGAAGATCATTCCTCCGCTGAGGAACAGTGAAAGTAAAGCTTCTGGAAACAAACGCTCCTCAAAAGATCCTGATGATCAGATTTGAGACTCTAAAACATGATTGATGGAGAATCAAGTAAAGCTGAGCTGCTTCAGTCCAGTAAGTGTTCATCTGGAAATATTTCTGCAGTTATTCTGACGATTACTTGATAAAAATCAGATAAAGATTTGACAGCAGAAAGACACGTGAAGCTCGAGCTGAAGCTGGACAATTATACTAAAAGGCTTTTTACTTGCTAAAAAGCATAAACGATCAATCAGACGTCAGAAGGCATGTAGTAGATTGCGTGTGACACGTTTAACAGCAGTTTTGATCATGTTGATCATATAAAACCTTAGAAATTTGTGTATTGTAGTCTTTATAGTTTCTAAATGTCTCTTTCATTTCAGCCTCTTGACTTTGAGAACAAGCGCACTCATAATGTGGTCGTGGAGGCTGTGAACAAACATGCGGACCCTCGTTTCGTGGATCTGGGCTCTTTCCGGGACCAAACCATCGTGCGGGTCAGTGTGTCGGATGTGGACGAGCCTCCCATCTTCATCCCTCCCACCGGCACCATCATGGAGGTTCAGGAAGACGCTCGCTTGGGTGCGCTGGTTGGGATTGTGACTGCCAAAGACCCGGATATGGATAACGTCCCTGTCAGGTACAGTACAGCCCATAATATATATATATATATATATATATACATGCTACTGTTTGGGTCAGAGGTTTTCAGAAGTCTGTCCAACATGTTTGTGGTTTGCGTGTCTATATAAGAAGATATGACAGACTTAACATATGATATTAGCAACTGCAACAGCATTACTTCATTTGTTTCACATTTTACAGAAATATTGCCAGCATTATAATTACTTTTTTCCCCTTTTTTTAAATCAGTGTTATTTTGGTATTATTAATATACCTTTATAGAATGTATAGCTAATTTTATTTAAAAAAAATTTAGTGTAAGTTTTAGTAATTTTGTTGTGCTTTTGTTTTGTTTTTTTTAAAGAAAGAAAAATGACTAATTACTGTTATTTTAGTATTATTTGTATAATTTTATATAATGTATAGCTTTTATTATTATATTTTCAGTTTTATTTAGAAAGAAAAAAATACTAATTACTGGTTTTTAGTATTATTTATTTGCTTTTAAAGAATGTATAGGTATTATTAATATAGTAAATATTATATTTTTAATTATAATTTTAGTGTAAGTTTTAGTAATTTTTGTAATTA